CGTTGGTTATATCCGACAACCGCCATTTTGTAAGCGTGAATGGGTTTTTTTGTATGTGAAGATTGGCGAAATAAATCGATTAATTTATGAAATGCTTGATGATATTAATGCTTTTGTTACCTATTACCACCTTAGTTTGTCCATGATTCCGCTGTCTACTGATATCTTTACGGCGAGAGCACAACTGCGCGTTCTGAAACTACGACCGATTTAAATAATTTATTAACGGTTAGCCTTAAATTGTTTAATTGAATTATATCCTTAGATTTTTTTCCATATATAGTTTCTTCTTAATAACTTAATAACAATCAGGAACTTCTTAATCGAAAAAACTTTATGATGTAAATTGCAATACCATCTTCATGCAAATGCGCATGCGTAGTATAGGAATCACGCAGACAATAGTTCCGTATTTTTTAAAATATCTTTTAATAAACTACTGAATATTAATAATTGTAATCAACTGGAGAAACTGAATCGGCACAGGTGCAATTATTTAGAACTTTAAAAAGTTGAAAGTATTGTATAATAAAAAAGATATTGAAGTTTTAATTTACATATAGTAAACAAATTGTTATTAATCTATTACGGAAAAGCTAGATATAGGCAAAAAATCTAAGCACATAATCGAATTATACAATTAAAAGTTTGTTGGTTTGTATATTTGCATTTTATTTCATATTAATTATGCAGATCTGACAGAATGAGGTCTTTGTTTGAACCCTTACCCTAGCCTGCAAAGTGTAATGGACAGTGAAAAAAAAATACCATTCGAAATATTTTTAATTGAACCCTCCAAAAATGCTCATTATTTTAATTGAACCCCTTCAGTTGTCCTAAAAAAAATTAAAAACTATGATAATTTTTTCGTTTTTCGCAACTGCGATATCTTTGGTAATACTTAATATTTTTGCAAAGAAATAAGGCAAAAAAATTGAACCCTTGCTCGTTTTAATTGCACCCCTCTTACTTTTTCAAAATTAATAATATATATGTCAAAAACAACAATCTAATTTTATTGTACGTTCTTTCCAAATAGATGGATGAACGCGCGTGCGTAAATAAAATTAGAAATAATTTAAAAAAAGTAAGAGTGGTGCAATTAAAACGAGCAAGGGTTCAATTTTTTTGCCTTATTTCTTTGCAAAAATATTAAGTATTACTAAAGATATTGCAGTTGCGAAAAACGAAAAAATTATCATAGTTTTTAATTTTTTTTGGGACAACTGAAGGGGTTCAATTAAAATAATGAGCATTTTTGGAGGATTCAATTAAAGATATTTCGAATGGTATTTTTTTTTCACTGTCCATTACACTTTGCAGACTACGACAAGGGGGCTGATTAATAAACCATCGAAGCCGGACCGATGCGAAGACAGCCCCACACAAATAACATTTTAGAAAAAAAAATGATCACATCTCACGTATGTCTAATTGTACTTCTCGAAAAAATAATTATTTGTTATTGTACCATTATATTTCTCATAAAAAATAAAAAATATCCTTATCGATATTTCACCTCCTATTTATTCACATAAAAGACATAATTAAGCAAACATAAATTCACAGAAAAATTGTACCTTCTGTAGTCTAAATTGTACCATCAGTACAATTCTATAAATTTGTTTCTAAAAGAAATAATAGGACAATTACAAATTACCACTATTTGTTACATCTTACAAGGATGTCATCGGGAAATGCACTTTGCGCAGGCGTAGAGCTTTAAACAGCGGAAAAATTTTGAAACCAATAATATTACATACATAAATTTATATAAATTCAATTGATGATTTGGTATAGAAATAATTTAACTTGTCAGAAAAAATAATTTTCTTTCATCTAATTAATTATTTTTATATTATAAACCTCGAAAATCATTGACAAAGAGAAAGATAACAGCTGCACCGATTTGATTTTATGCTAATGCTTACTTTATCCAGATATAGCAATTTAAGGACAAATGTACCGCATTCATCGAACATCCGACTTAATTGTACCGTAATTAGTTTTTCAAACAATTAATTTGTTGCTTACTATTTATCGATTATTAATGAAGAATATTCGATGCAGATTCGAGGTTAGGTACGTTGCGCCGACGCCGTCGGAAGCGGGGAAATTCAAAATATTGCAGGTGGAACTTTCAATCTGTTGAATTTTCGTTTAAGTATAGATATTTGGAAATAACGTTGATAGAACCACTCGCGGGCACAGTTTATTCAACTTGTATCAATCATTATCATATTATGTCTCCCGAAAATCAATGGCAAAGAGAAAGATAACAGCTGCACCGATTTGATTTCATGCTAATGCTTCCTTTCTCCAGATATAGCAATTTAAGGACAACTGTACCTCATTAATCGAACATCCGACTTAATTGTACCGCAATTAGTTTTTCAAACAATTAATTTGTTGCTTACTATTTATCGATTATTAATGAAGAATTTTCGATGCAGATTCGAGGTTAGGTACGTTGCGCCGACGCCGTCGGAAGCGGGGAAATTCAAAATATTACAGGTGGAACTTTCAATCTTCAACGTTGATTCAAATAAGTGAATGAGGAAATATAAAAATTCTAAATTGGCTCTGTAAAATACATAAATGACAAGCTCAACTTGTTCTTTATTTTTTCTAACATTTCTGCAAAAACTGCTCAAATTGATTGTTTGCATCAATTGCTGTACTTAATATTAGCTGTTCTTACAATACATATGTAGTTTAATTTTTTTGATTATGAAATTTGTTCTGGAATAAATTACTTTCCTTATAATGTCTACCGACTAGAATAGTTTACAGTAACAATAAACCGTTATATTTTTCTAATAATCATCAATAAAATAGTAATTTATTTGCAGAACTTGTACAAATAAAAAAATATATATACAATTTCGAATGATTCGAAGAGTTAGTTTTGTAATTTACTGTTTAAAGTTGAGGAAGACGATGATGATAAAGACAAGAGCAATAAAAAAATATTCAACTTTCTTGACAATCACTCTACATGCGCCTTTGAAACTCCTAATTTCATTATTCAACATATAAACAGTTTTACTTTCTTGAAGAAGTCTTTTTTTTGTTTCTTCATCTAAAGTATCTGCAATCCTATTCATTGTGTTGCGCAATTCACGTTTTAATTCGTAAATACTATATTCCCCGAAGTCTGTAAGTTTATTTCCACCATTTGATGTATCTTGAAATGGACTATTTTTTTGTATAATAGCCCTTTTTTCTAAGAATTATCCCATCACTTAGTAGATCCATATATAGATGATAAATATATGCCATTAACAGTAATGAATCTATGTCTTCTACTTCTTTAAGTCTTATTAGGTACCTAGCTACACTTTCCCTGGAAAAATATGATGCAAATAGTTGTGAAACATTTGCAAATATATGTAAAAGTGTTGAGTAGTTTTGAATTAATTTAAATACAATGCCTAATTGGCATGTAAATTTTCATCCATCTTTTTCCTAAATAAAATTCCAATTCTTTTTCAAACGCCTCTGTTCTCTGAAGCTCTTCAATTCGTAACTGCTTCACATAAAATTAGCATAATTATACTTGAAAGCTCTTGTATTTTAATATGTATTTATACTTGAAAGACCTGATGCTTCGAGCTCATCAGAAACAAGTTTGAGCTCTAAACTAGATGTTTTCAATCTTGCATTGAAAGATCTATGTTTATTTAATTGATGTTTGCAATATTTGTGATTTGAGCTAATACATGTGCGAAGTTGACGAGAAATGTACTAAATTGTATTACTATTTTAGAGAAGACATTAATAAATAAACGTTCTTTTTTAACATGTAACTTTTGCTTCCAGAATCAATCATATATTTTCCTATTTAACGTTTTACTTTCTTTTGATTTCAAAATATTTAAAAAATAAAATTAATCTCTCTTCATAATCTTGATAATAATTTTAAATTTACACTAGTTAGAGTTAATTGCGGTACAATTAAGTCGGATGTTCGATGAATAAGGTACAGTTGTCCTTAAATTGCTATATCTGGATCTTTCTGCTATATCTGTTATCTTTCTCTTTGCCATTGATTTTCGGGAGACATAATATGATAATGATCGATACAATTTGAATAAACTGTGCCTGCGAGTGGTTCTATCAACGCTATTTCCAAATATCGATACTTGAACGAAAATTCAACCCATTGAAAGTTCCACCTGCAATATTTTAAATTTCCCCGCTTCCGACGGCGTCGGCGCAACGTACCTAACCTCGAATCTGCATTGAAAATTCTTCATTAATAATCGATAAATAGTAAGCAACAAATTAATTGTTTGAAAAACTAATTGCGGTACAATTAAGTCGGATGTTCGATTAATGAGGTACAGTTGTCCTTAAATTGCTGGATAAAGTTGTCCTTATATCTGGATAAAGTAAGCATTAGCATGAAATCAAATCGGTGTAGCTGTTATCTTTCTCTTTGTCAATGATTTTCGAGGTTTATAATATAAAAATAATTAGTTAGATAAAAGAAAATTATTTCTTCTGACAAGTTAAATTATTTCTATACTAAATCATCAATTGAATTTATATAAATTTATGTATGTAATATTGTTGGTTTCAAAATTTTTCCGCTGTTTAAAGCTCTACGCCTGCGCAAAGTGCATTTCCGGATGACATCCTTGTAAGATGTAACAAATAGTGGTAATTTGTAATTGTCCTATTATTTCTTTTAGAAACAAATTTATAGAATTGTACTGATGGTACAATTTAGACTACAGAAGGTACAATTTTTCTGTGAATTTATGTTTGCTTAATTATGTCTTTTATGTGAATAAATAGGAGGTGAAATATCGATAAGGATATTTTTTATTTTTTATGAGAAATATAATGGTACAATAACAAATAATTATTTTTTCGAGAAGTACAATTAGACATACGTGAGATGTGATCATTTTTTTTTTCTAAAATGTTATTTGTGTCGGGCTGTCTTCGCATCGGTGAAGCCGGTCATATTATAGCGAAGCAGTGTCGTCGGGGTATCGTTCTATAATAACTATAAGTCATGAAGAGTAGTTATGTGATTGACTTTTTGTCTTGATTATTTTAGTCAATCTTAATTAATAATTTAAAAAAATCATTGTATTCGGTGATTTTATTTTGGTTAACATAGCTTCCGTATGGATATGCTAAATAATAAATGATACCAGGAAGAATGAGTGTGTGAAAATTATATCTGAGCAACAAAATTCAATGTTACATTATATCTTTAATTATTGAGTAACTTTTTTATAGAAAGGATTTTATTTTGTTATAAATGTCATAAGTATTCTCTATTACTATTCATGTTAGAATTTGTCCTTACATTCATTTAATGTCAACTGACTTTTAAGATACGAGGTCTAGGATGGTAAACAGCTTAACCCTTAACTTATTTAAAAGTGGTATTAGTATTTTGCCACAAAACAAAATTACTCAACACTCAATTTTGAATTCAATATCTTCTGAAGTTTGATTACAACATAACTGTTTAAATCATGAACACACAAGAAGAAGTCTTGCGTATCCAAAAAAAATTAAATAAAATGTCATGTAGTGATGGACTGGTAATGTTTTTGTTATTTTTGAATCAAATGTTACTGATGTTTTATGAAAAAATTTGAATTTATTTATAGGGTCATGAACAAGCTTTAGAGTTGTTAAAAATTCTCCAAAGGTTGCCTATAAATTTGGAACTCCTTCAAAAAACTCGTATTGGTATGACAGTAAATGCATTTAGAAAATCAAGCAAAGATGATGAAGTTATTTCATTGTCAAAACATTTGATAAAAAGTTGGAAAAAACTATTATCTGGTAAATGTTTATTACAATTTATTTCTTGTACACATTACTTTTGTTACGTTCTATTTTATTACAAATAGGTCCTAACAAAGAGTCTAGAGAAGCAAATTCATCCAACAGTATAAAGAAAAAAGATTTTAAAAATGAAAAAATTCAAGATGAACAGGGATATAAAAAAGATAAAGATCTACCTGATTCCATAGACGTTAAATTAAGAGATGATAAAGTATCAAAGGAGACTCTTAAAAAACAGTCGTCATTTCCTTCTGCAACTACAACTGATGCAGTCAGGTTAAAGTGCAGAGAATTACTTACTGCTGCTTTGAGAATTGATGATACAACTATTGTTGGTTGTGCAAGCTCTGAAGAATTAGCTGAGGAACTGGAAGAGGCCATATTTGCAGAATTTAAAAATACTGACAACAAATATAAAAATCGAGTAAGTCTTGAAATTTTCAATATTTTGTTCAAAATATACTGTTTGTGTACAATACACTATTTTGAAACATGCCTATTAGAGTTTCAATTAATACTGACTGATTTTTATAGAATATTTTATAATTGACTTAACTTGGTTCTTGAATGAGTTGTATACAATGCTATATATGAGATGTTAAATAGTGGCATTTTTGAAAATATTCATTTATTAGAAAGGTTTTTCAAAAATCCTTTTTGTTATTACTTATTTTATTATTTTATTTAATCGTTTAAATAATATAGAAGCTTTTTCTCAAATTCAAATAATATAAAAAATGTTAGTAGTTATTTAAAATTTTTACTTGATAAATTTTATTATAAATAATTTATTATAAATAATAAAATTTATACATAATATAATTATAAATAATCAAATTTATGGAAGTTTTGAAACAATTTTTAAACTTGAAATCGTAGTTTTGATTGTATGATAAGTCAAATGAGGTATGGGTAAGATTAAATTAACACTCTCAACACATAAAATACTGTTCAACAAGTTCATAGAAATCTATTTATAAATATTGTACAAGTATTGAAAGTACACTTCAAAATTATGAAAAATGGTCCGATGAATTATAAAAAGGTCACTGTAGTGACAATAATGCTTGCAATCAATTTTCATTCAAATAACTTACACTTAAGTAATATGTAATATTAAATATTGTTTAAGGAATTATAAAATTGATTTCCCTTTGAAAATTGGTTTTTTAATCAGAAATGTTTACGAGAAAGAGTTTTATGTTTGTCAAAGAATATTTTGTCATAGTTCAGTATTGGTAAATCTAAATATTTTTTATTACCAAAAACATCATTTGTTTCCAAACATTCCAGCTGTTAATAAAAGAAGTATACTTTTATTCTTTAAAGGAATTTGACTGGTATAGATGGATGTTTAAGTTTAAATTAAAAAGTGTATACATTTTTTAGTTGTTTATTTTTTTGGATTTTATTGAAGCCTATTCCAGTTATTAAACTGAATTAAACTATTAAATTGAATTCATCATTTTTTAAATTTATGTCTAGATAATAATATGCCTTGACTTTAACAAAATTTTTTTTTCATTTGAACAACTGAATTCATCAACCATGTATGCAAACACTTGAGTTATGATAATTGATTTTTCGACACTCCGTGCGGAAAGTGCATTTTTCCGGCACGCTCGGCAAAAAACGTACGTTGAAAATTGCACTTTCCACACGTCGTATCAAAAAATACGGTACGGCACATGTTCGGGAAAGAGTTTCTCGTCTCGTGTACCATTCCACCCTCGCTTTGCTCGGGCGTAAACGCTACACAAGACTAGAATCTACTTTCCCGCACTTGTATCGTACTGTACTATTCCCGTACTTGTATCGTAATGTACTATAAAATATAATAAATGCCGTTTTGACACATTTACAAAAATTTATTAATATTTAAAATTATTTCACCTGTAATATATAAATGAACTTCAAATGAACATAAAAAATTTTTTTTCCAGAAAATAGTCTATCAGATATACTTATTTGTGGGTAGCGAAAAAATTGTTTTCTTGAATGTGCAATAATTTGAGATATATATTATCAACTTAATTAGGCAAGATATCATTTAGTTTTTATCATAAACTTTAAAATAAAATGTAGTGCATAAGAAAATTAGAATTCATTCGAAAGATATGGCTGTTTATGCTAGGATTTCTATTATATGTAAATTTATATTAATTTGAATTAATTTGAGTAATAATTAATCGAATGATCTTTACAATCAACTCGATTTATAGTATACGATTAGCGATATGTGTATTTTTTTATCAATTCAATGAAATTTATTGAAGTTATGTAGAAATAAAATAGATCCATTTTCATATAAAATATTTTTTTTCCCAAAAACAATGTAATGGAATAAATTGAAATTTATACAGTTTGAAAACTATTGCTTGATATGTACAACAAAGTAGTTTTGTTTTTATTTTAAGATATAGAATAAATTTTAAAGACAGTAGGGTTTCAAATTATCAGATGCGAATATTTTTATTGTAAACAATTTATTTACAATTCCAGAGAGAGAGAGAGCTTTAAGAGAAACTTAAAATTAATAACATAAAAAATATTTGTATAAAAGAGCTTGATGACTTATAGTGAAACAAAATGTAATATATAACTTGTTTCTGTGATATTTTACAATTTATAGCGAGTTACAATGTGACGGGCATTTTCATGTTTTACTGATGTAACAAGAGTATTCAGAATTATGTTATTTACGTAAGATCCTAATAGATGTGGACGGGCTAGTGGTGTCTGTCACGGCTCCTCGCGAAGGAGTGGTTTTTATTCAGCTGGTACTGGAAGCTGAAAAAACTACTCTTGGATGCAAGTGATCGCGAGACTGGACCGCCGCTGGTTCCTCTATTGCCAGATAGGCTGGTTTCAGATTGGAAGTTGAGATGGTCTGTGGAGATTCGTCTACGCCTATGGTGTATCGGTAATCGTCCAGTCTCTCAGTTACCCTGTAAGGGCTCGAATAGGGAGGCGTTAGAGGTGGTTTCACAGACGCGCCAAGTTTGAAGACGCGAGAGCACGTTCATAGGTCACCGTGCAAGAAATGCTTCGATTTAATGTGGTGCGACGTGGGAGTTGGCCTGATTATTCTGATGTGCCTTTTCAGGTGATTCAGGAAGGTTACTGGGTGAATCATTTGATCTTGAGTGACAAAATTCTCCTGATACTCTGATTGACATTCTAAATACCAGCTCGGCTTGAGAGATTTTTAGCTCCTCTTTGTGAGTAATTTCAAAGGCTGTGCGTCTGAGAGAAGTAGGCAGGAAACGACGTACGATCCCGGAAGAGACGTCGCACAAGAGTTTGTAGTCATCAATATCTAAAGATTGCAGAGTGAGGGGGGTTACATCCTCGTTGGGATTCTGGATGGCGGCGGCATCGTTGTCTTGCGCCTCGCTGATTGTTTTGGCATCTAGCCTGGTGGGCATGTTGATAGTACAAATTCTCAAGAGAGCGTCCGCTACCACATTCTCCTGACTCGGAATGTGAACTGTTGAAGTACTAAATTGGCCAATGTAATCTAATTAATGAAGCTGCCTCGGAGAGGCTTCCTCTGGCCGTTGCAGGAAGACCTTCACCAATGGCTTGTGGTCAGTTCGGATAATGAATGATCTGCCTTCGACTATATGGGCAAAATGCTTCAAAGAAGCAAAGATTGCCAACAATTCGCGATCATATGGGCTGTAGTTTTTTTCGGCAGGTGAGAGCCTCCTGGAGAAGAAACCTAGGGGTAGACGTTTTCTACCGACGTGCTGTTCCAAGGACCCGTCTATGGCAGTTCACGAAACATTAGCGGTGAGGACGATGGTGGCGGCTGGATGAAGAAAAGCTAAGGATGTTGCTTCCGCCAGAGACCTCTTGGCCTTTTTAAGCGTTTTTTGAGCGATTTAGCATTTTCGACTAGGAGAGATTGAGCTTCAGCTGCATGAGGGATTAGTGCTCGGAAGTAATTAAGGCTCCTAGGAAGCTCTTGAGCTCGAACACCGTTGCAGGCTCTGGGATGCCAAGGATAGCCTCTATTTTTTCAAGCGGGGACTGAATCCGGCGGCATTGACACGAAAACCGAGAAAGATAACCTCATCCTGAGCGAAACAGCACTTGTCCTAATTTAGTTTCAGTTTATTGTTAAAAAGGATATCGAGGACGGCTCGCAGATGCTCCACATGCTCTGGTTCGCCCTTTGAGGAGATGAGCAGGTCATCCAAGTACATTGACACGAAGTCCAGGTACCTAAAGAGGCTATTCATATAGCGCTGAAACGTTTGAGTTGCATTCTTTAATTTTAGTGGCATTCCTAAGAATTTGAAGAGTCTGAAAGCTGTAATTATAGCAGTTTTCGGTACGTCCTCTGAAGCAACAGGGATTTGAAAATAGACTCTTTTCAAATCTGAAGTAGAGGAAATCGCTTTTCCGTGAAGTTGAAGAAGATCGTGGATACTTAGAATAGGGTATCGGTCAGGTACTGTTTATGTATTAAAGTTTCTGTACTCTCCTGTTGGTCTTAGCTTCCCCGACTTTGACTTGACCATATGAATTGGGCTAGCATATGGGTTATTAGGGGCTTTATGACCCCTGTTTGTAGCCGCTCAGCATATTCTGCCTTGGCAACTTTCAGTTTGACTCCCAGCACTTGTCGAGGCCTCGAAAAAGCAGGAGGTTATACGGTGATAATGTGATGTGTAAAGGCAGTTCGTCGGCAGGCATCGTTTGAAATTTTCTTCCACTAGCTTGACGATGATATCACTTGCGCCAGTTAAAGCAGAAGTAAAACTCATCGGGTACATGGCCTGGATGGAGTGGATTGATGCACAGGTGAGGTATCCGGTGGTCGAGAGGAATGTCGCCTCGTCTAGTAGCCTTCGCTTCTTCAGACCAGGCAGCAAGTTGTAATAGGAGAGGAAGTCTGCTTTAATGAACGGAAACTTAACATCAGCCATGACAAAAGATCAGGGAAAGGTCCTGCGGAGGCCAAAGTCCAGCAGCAGAGTTTTGCGTCCACTAGTAGGAATTGGTGTGTCATTCGCTGTGAAAAGATGAAGGTCGGTCGGGATCCTAGAGCCACCTCCTGACATTAGGAAAACAGAGATGATGGAGCTGCTGTCGACGAGAAGACGCATTCCAGAGGTTCGGTCATGGATGATCAGCCTTTCTCTCTCCATTGTTGCCTGGAAACGACTTGAGCTGCGAAGGAGCTGCTGCCTAACGCGAAGGCAGACAGCAGCTCTAGAGGTTTCCCGATTGTTGCTGTTGTTGTGTAGAGAAGGCACATGGCAGATTGCAGCGAGTGGTTGCTGCACCAAAGCGGGTGTGGTAAAAATAAATACCATTACTTTGCGGCCTGGGACTTGAGTGGTTCCTTTGAAGCAAAAGACGTTCCCACGACCGAATAATGCGTAGAGCAAACGCACTAAACGTACACGAGAA